TGCCACAAAGGAGCAACTGGAGCAGCTGGAGTCACGGGACGTGTCCCTGGGCAGCTCAGAAGGCCCCTTTGGGAAGGCACGGTCTGCTTGGAAGGAAAACAGCACTTCAGAAAGTCCATGTCATCCACTTTGCTCAGATCCACACAGGGACAATGTCTGTGCTCCACCCACGCCACCCACCTCCTCACAGAGACGAGGGCTTGGTGATCCAGGCAGAGCCAGGTCACTGCCTCATGCCCCACTCCGGCCGCCCACCCTCGGCCATGTGTGGGCTCTGTGCGGGAGACCGCAGAGCAGTGGAGAGTGTGAGGTTTCTGTCACAGGAAGGTTTTGCAAGACAGGGATACGAAATACAATTCTCACTCCCTCTGGGAGAAGAAAAAGATGAGGGAAAGCATTGCTCGAAGGGGACAAGAGAATCTATGGAAGAGGAATAAGATGACAAGTTATTATTATCTCAAACAATTTCCCCAAGAATAACAGAAGTTGCCATCACAATGTGGTACGTTAGAAAGTGTCGGAAGTCAGAGGCTATGTGCTCCAAGCCAGATGACCTTAGGGCAGGTCCTGGCCCCGCTCGGGGCCACGGTGACTTCATTTATTAAACAATCGGGGAGAATGACACTGTCCTCCTAGCTCACTGGCTGAGATGAGCCTAAAGGGCACCCTTAGTCATTCATAGTTACTATCTAGCCCCACATGCAGGCACTGTTCTGGACACAGGATGGACAGAAAGAGACTCTGGAAGTTGTAACATGCCAGTCAAATGGGAGGTATCACAATCTAGGTTTAGGAGTGTAGAGACCCCTCTGTAAGAAACTCACGGGAGACATCCTCACATCATAGGTCGCTTTAACTGGGATGCTTCATGGGGCCCCTCTGCCTGGCCTCCCTGCCCCCAGGACCCCTCTGTCTCTCCACCCATCCACTGACCAGACTCATTTCCTAAACACCCTCATACCTCTGTCCAGGACGTCCACGGCTCACTACTACCTGTTGTTTTTGAGAGCTGTCAAGTCGATTCTGACTCGTAGCGACCCTATACGACAGAGTAGAACTGCCCCATAGGGTTTTCTAGGCTGTAATCTTTACAGGAACAGATTGCCAGGTCTTTCCCCCATAGACAGGCTGGTGGGTTCAAATTGCAAACCCACTGCTTAGCAGCTGAGCGCTTAACTGTTGCACCACCAGGGCTCCTTGCTAATGCCAATACTACATGAAATCTCGACTCCTGCGCCTCACAGGCAAGACTCCAGACATATACCAACCTCGAAGTACCTCTCCTCTCTCTAAGACCCCACTGAGACCCATCTCCATCCCCATGGGTCATACCCAAGAGTACAGGCTCTGGAGTCAGATGGAGATCCAAGCCCTGGCCCTACTTACCTTAATCCCTGCTACTCAGTTTTCTCAACTAGAGAAAAGGGAAGATAATTATATAAAATGGATTTAGCAATAAAGGTTACTTTTTATCTACTACTCTCCAAATATACTCTGCTCTTTGCTGATGTTACCTACTCCTGCCTCAAACATCAAAATTTTATCCATCCTCAGGCATGGCTCAAATACCTCCTTCTGCAAGAAGCCTGCCACCGTCTCTAGCACCTCTGGACACTTGTCCTCAAAGGCACTCATCCCCACTGGCCTGGACTGGAGGTTTCCCACCGGGTCTGACAACACAGACAAGTCCTGGTGGCGCAATGGTTAAGCGCTTAGGTGCTAACCTAAAGCTTGGCAGTTCAAACTCACCCAGTGGCTCCTCAGGAGAAAGGACCTGGTGATCTCCTCCCATAAAGATTACAGCCTAGGCGGCCGTCTAAGATGCATCAATTGGTCCCAATCTACCTGGAGTAAGGGAGAATGAAGAATACCAAAGTCACAAGGAAAGCATTAGCCCAAGAGACAGAAAGGGCTACATAAACCATAGACTTCATCAGCCTGAGACCAGAAGAACTAAATGGTGCCTGGCTACCACCAATGACTGCCCTGACAGGGAATACAACAGAGAGTCCCTGTGGAGAAGCAGAAAAGTAGGGTGCAGAACTCAAATTCTAATAAAAAGACCAGACTTAATGGTTTGAGACTGGAGGAACCCCAGAAAGCATGCCCCCGGACCCTCTGTCAACCCAGCACTAAAATCATTCCTGAGGCCAACTCTTCAAAGATTAGACTGGACTATAGGACATAAAATGATACTCATGAAGAGTGTGCTTCTTACCTCAAGTAGATACATGAGACTAAATACGCAGCTCCTGTCAGGAGGTAGGATGAGAAGACAAGACAGGGTCAGGAGCTGGTTGAATGGACACGGGAAATCAGGGGTGGAAAGGAGGAATGTGCTGTCACAGTATATGGAGAGCAATTAGGGTCTCATAACAATGTATGTATAAATTTTTATATGAGAGACGAACGTGATTTGTAAACTTTCACTTAAAGTACAACAATAAAAAAAAAAGATTACAGCCTAGGAAACCCTATGGGGAAGTTCTACTCTGTCACATGGGGCTGGTGAGTCGGAATCAGCAACAACACCCAACAATAAGGTCCTCAAAGGCAGAGCCACCTGCTCACTGAAAGGCCCCAGCGGCCAGCATCGTGCCTCGCATCAGGTGCCACAAACAACCATGGAGCGAGCAGGCATCACAGCAAATGTCCAAAGTGACGATGGCTGTTCAGAAAAGTATTTTAACACTGGACTTCTCAAGTTTGAGCATCTTTGCTGCCAATGATTTTAAAAAAGTGGGTGGTTTCTAATATTTTGGAGGCCCCACTCTGTAAGGTCAGCCCCCCAAGGGCCACCTTCACCTCAAATCCATCTCAAACCTGGGAAAAAGCAGGACCACCATACACCGACAAGACAGGAGGTTATGGCGCTCTAATTGTGCATGGCTGGCTCTCCAGGAACTAAGCAAAACATCAGCTACCAAATACTACAGATTCAAAAAGAAAAAGTCAAACATCATACCAAGAAATAATCACAGATTTCTCATCAGTTACAGGCTGAAAGCTAGAACTGCAGAGGAATATGAAACCAGTTGTTTAAAAAGAGCCTTCTTCAGGGGGAAGTTATTGCTTAATGGGTATGGGATTTCTGTCTGGGTTGACAAAAACGTTTTGGCAATAGATGGTGATGGTTCCATATCATTGTGAAAGAAATTAATGCCACTGGATTGTACACTTTAAAAAAGTTAAAATGGCAAATTTTATGTTATATATATTTTGCGCTCGACTACTAACTGAAAGGTTGGTGGTTTGAATCCAACCAGTGGCTCTGCAGGAGAAAGACCTGGCAATCTGCTCCTGTAAAGATTTCAGTCTAGAAAATCCTAAGGGGCAGTTCTACTCTGTCACATGCGGTCGCTATGAGTCGGAATTGACTTGATGGCACCAAACAACTACAAAAAACAAATTTTTTTTTTTCCCAAAAAGCCTTGTTTGGCACCTTCCTGAACTAGCACAGACACATTTACCAAATCAAGGCCCATCAAGTCTAATGACTCAGGATACCTTTGCTACTACTGTGTGACTGCCGCTAGAGCTGAGCACACCTGAGGAACAGCCGGGTCTAGAAAAACAGCTGCACCTGGGCCTCCCCCTTGTTGCTGTCCAAGAAATTTATTCTTATTATAAACTCCTCTACCACAGCATTCCTGTTCACTTTAAATGTTAACATTCACAACTATTCATAAACTGAATACAGGTAGTCCCCAACTTACGATGTATTCGAGCTACAACAATGGTCCTTTTTTTTTTTTTTTAACATCTTATCGTTAGTAATATGTACTACATACAATGTTGCAGCACGTAATTTGCTGATATCATCATTCTCAGATGTTCAAAGACAAAGATCGGATTTATAAAGATATTGATAATAAAAGGCAATAATAATGAAAACTAAAAAAAAAAAGGTATTCAGCTTACGTCAGAACCAACTTATGACGGAGTAGTCATCAGAATGAACCCCATCGTAAATCGGGGACTACCTGAATAGCTTATCTTCATAAACTATAAATGAAGAGCTCGGGTTAAAAACCTTGCTTCTAGAATGTGACCTCAAACTTTAACTTGATCTCAAATATAAAACCCTTAAGATTGGAGGGCTTTACCTTTTCAAATACATCACTTAATCAGAGAGCTTTCAATTTTGAAAGATTTATCTTGCTTATTGTTGTTGTTGGATGCTGTCGAGTTAATTCCGACTCATAGCAACCCCATGTGACAGAGTAAACTGTCCCACTGGGTTTCCTAGGTTGTAATCTTTATGGGAGCAGATCACCAGGTCTTTCTCTCTCGGAGCTGCGGGGTGGATATGAACTGCCAACCTCTCAGTTAGCAGTTGAGTGCTTAACCGTTGCACCACCAGGACTCCTTATCTGCTACTTGGAAAAAAAAAAAAAAGGCAAGGACTCATTTTAAACTTAGGTTCCTCCTCTCTACTGAAGACAACTATGAAACTTCCTTCTCTTTAATCAAGGTTCTGAGGTCTCAGCATCAGCCATTTGATTGCTGGGTCTCTTTAAAATGTGCACTTGTTGCTTGGCCAGAATAACCACAAGAGTACGCGGAAAGATCAGACGTAATGTTTTACTCCATCCCCCTTTCTCCATATGTCATATTAAATATCTGAAATATATTAATCTTAAAAAACAGTATTAACACAGAACTCAATGGATGCCAGCAGTGGAGTAAACAATGAGTCCAGACTGCAAAATGCAGGTTCTTAAAAAAACGGGAGTGGGTGTGGTCGAGTCCAGATTTTCCAGCCGCCTCACTGATGAGCGCACTCTGGAATTTTGCAATGCGTCAAATCAGGAAGGAAAAGAAGCTGTGAAAAAATATACATGGTAATTAACTGTCCCCCATCAGAGAGATACGGCAGACCCTTCATTTAAAGTAACAATAAAAAAACCAAACCAGTTGCTGTGGAGTGGATTCTGACTCATAGTGACCCCATGTGTGCCGAGTAGAACTGCTCCGTAGGGCTTGCAATGGCTGTGACCTTTTGGAAGCAGATCACCAGGAATTTCTTCCTAGGTGCCTCTGGGTGGTTCAAACTGACAACCTTTCGGTTAGCAGCTGAGCGCTTAACCGACTGCATCACCAGGGACTCCTGATAAAAGCACGTTTTTTGCGTTCAGGAGCTTTCCCTAATGCTTTTAGTCTCGAAGTAGGTTTTCCGGCTTAGGGTAGCCAAAGAGAACGAAATCTGCTTCGTAGAGTTTGTACAGCTGCTGCCTCCAGGCCAAGGGAATTCTGGCGAACCAGTCCTCCTCCCAGCTGCTGGCAGTCCTGTTCCGGTAGCTCGGGGGGAAGTGGAGAAGCTGGTCCACCTTGAGGAGCCGCAGCAGCTGGGCGGCATCCTCATCCAGCGTCTCCAGCTTGCCCACAAAATCATAGTCGATCTGACAGGGGTGGCAGAGGCGGTACACCTGCCGCCAGTGCTCATTGAAGGGCGCCAGCCGCTCGGTGTGCGGGTCCAGCAGGTACTGGATGAAGTTGGTGAAGGACACCTTCAGGCCGGCACTGAAGGCCTCACTGACGGAGGTGGGTAAGCTGGTGAGGTTGGAGTACATCTTCAGCATGGGGATGGCAAACTTCTGGTAGAACTCCTCGTTCTCCAGCTCGAACTTGCTGCGGAAGGCAGAGATGAGGCGGACGAAGGGGTCCCGCACGAAGAGAAACTTGGTGTACTTCTTCAGCTTGATCTTCATGAGATGGCGCGAGAACTTCCCGTAGCGGCGCCAAAACTTGTTGAATGTCAGGTGGGTGCTGGAGTTGTGGACGTGCTCGCGAGGGATGTCCAGCGGTTCCCGGTAGGGCACGCCCTGGTCCAGCAGGCTTTCACTCAGGACGATCATCACGCGCTTCCAGTTGGTGCACGCCACCTTGGGCACATAACAGTAGATAATCCCGTGACGGTCATCCACAATGAGGTGGTTCAGCTCATAGTTGGGGATGTCGTCAAATGAGCGCTCCTTGGTGGGGAAGACGAAGCTCGAGTTGGCGCAGAAGTCCCTGAGCACGCGCCTCCTCTCAGCCTGCAGCCTGTCCTGGTCCGGGTTCTGCTTGGTGTCATGCGGGGACCAGTCGTAGCCCCTCACGCTCTCCTCCATGTTACTCAGGGCGGGCTTGCTGGAGGCTAGTAGGGGGGGCTGTTCAGTCTTCTTTCTGGAAGGGTCATTCTGCTTCAGGCCTGAGCTAAGCAGCTTGTCCAGAAACTCATCAACGTCCGACATGAAGTCCTTCCCCTCCTCTGGCCCGGGTGTAGGGAGTGGATCTGGGAGATGTGGCCTGGAGAGTGAGGTGTGCAGGTAGAAGTGGGCGGTGCCCACGTTGTCCCAGTACACAATGATCAGGAGGATCATGAAGACAGAGCCCAGGGCAAGCCAGAGCCGGAAGAGCCGTGCTTTAGCCATCCTGCAAGGACGAGCAGGCTCAGCCTTCCACCTGGACCCCTCACTTCAGGCTCGTGTACAGGTGGGGCATGGTGCTCTGAGGAACCTGGAAGGGCAACAAGAAACGAAACGAGACTTCAGCCTCAGGTTCTCAGATGAGGCGGGGGCTGGCTGGGGTCTCGGGCCCTTTCTCCTGCACCACAGGTCACCTTGCTGCCTTCCTTCCTACCTCCATCCTTCACTGTGGGGCTTTGTCAGGTGCCTGATCAGCAGCTGACCACAGGGCAGGACCACAGCCTTTGTATAAGGTGATTAGTGCCATGTGGAAGGGCCCAGAGGTGACTGTGGCTGAGAGAAGACCCTTCCACCACCCCAATGGGAGGTGCACAGGGACTCGGGGAGGGCAAGAGGATGGTGCAGAGACAGGAGAGACATGTCACATGGCCACACAAGAGGGACAGGCAAACAAAGGCAGTAACAAGGTTATAGTATAAGTTTACTAAAATGTTAAAGATGCACCCCCCCAAAACACACCTTCTACTGTGTTCACTTAAACCAGATCAACGTAAGAGGTGGCCTACCACGTGTGGCCCAGAGAAGGCAGGGGGACGCCCACTGTGACTCTACTCCATAAAAGCTACCATACCTGGTACTTAATACATTTTCATTAAGTGAATCTGAAAGTTTGCTAGGCTGAAGTCTGGATGCATTCTCTATCCATGTCTGCAGCTTTTCTTTATTCCTAATTCTTTTTTTTTTAATTGAGAAAGTACTAAGTGCTTGTAGGAAAAAGGTCAGCATACAGAAGGGTGGTGTGGGCTTCCACAGGAAAGATGCTGAAATGATAACCAGGCAGAGGGCAGGGCATACAGGTTAGCAGGGAAGGAGAGTGCAGGTGAGTGGGGAGTCAGCGGAGTGGGGAGTTAGTGGCTGCTTGGAGTGGGACAGGTGAGAAACCTTTCAGGCTCGACGGAGTGCTTTGGGGATTTGAGAGCAGTGGCAGCCCCAGGACTGAGGATGGGATACTGACTGATCCTCAAACCTGAGGGGGAGGGCAGAGGAAGAGCTCACTGAGGACCAACCTCTTGGGTGCTTGGGTCTTATCTGTAGGCAGGGGCCAGCTCAGGAGCCACGGTAGGCGGTCCCCGTGGGTGGAGAAATGTGGTCCGTGATGGCGGGTTTATAGACACCGTCAATGTTAAAAAAGTCAGAGGACGCCATCCTTGGCCTAGTCCTATTGGACAAATATCCCGAGTGCCAATTCTGTTCCAGGTACTTTGCTAAGTGCTAGGGACATCACAGGGAAGAAGACATAGTCTTTGACCAACTATTTAGATAAAGAATGCTAATTAGGTTGTCAGATAAACCCTGGCTGGGAATGCCAGCTCAACGATTAGGTGACAATTCAGTACTTGTGATGCCTTACCTGGCACAGGAGGCACACCACACCACCACACATCTGCAAAGCTCCCAGAAACAAGGGTGGCTGCTGCTGTGGCCCCAAATGTGCTAATCCCACCCACTGGCAAGGTCCATCTCTTTCTTTCCTGTATTTCTGTCCTGAACCACATTACAACCCGTTGCAGGGGGCAGGGGGCAGAGGGTAAAAGACCAGCAAACATATCTATGTTCAATCTGTGTGACCTGATGGCTTGAGGTTTCTGGAAAAGTCCAGTGATCTGCATCCCCATCTTTGGCATGTACCTTTCTCTTTGTAGTACAGGTATGCATGTACCCATCTGAACCCACTTGTTAGGACTAGCTGGGGTCCCCTGGCAGGTCCTGCCTCTCACCTAGCCTCCTCCCCAAGGTTGACACCTGGATCACAACAGCCCCAGGTTCTCTTTCCTACATCTCCCTCCGAGCAGAGCAGCTGCAGGGGCAGGGCCGGTCAGACTCAGGAGAGATTATGTTGGGGCTTCAAATATCCGAAGGGCTGCCACACAGAAAAGGAAGCAGGCTTACCTGTGCAGCTTCAGAAGACAAAACTTAGAAACTGAGGTTATCCCCATGGAAGAATAAATACACTAATAATTTTTTTAGTGGCTGAAACCCAGACTGGGCTGCTTTTAAGACACACCAAGATCTCTGTCACTGAGGCATCTACACAGGGACAGACTGCTCACCTATTGGAATGTTCCAGAAAAGAGTCTCACGTTGGAGACTCTTGGATTTTTCCCAATGCAACCACTTAGATTTTTCCCAGTGCAAAGTTTCTCTGAGTCTGTATTTCTCATATGCACTCAGCTCTACTTTTTCAAAAGTCACTGAACCTGTTACTTAATAAATTTTCATTAAATGAACCTAAACATCTGCTAGGTTGAAATCTAGATGCATTTACTATCCACGTCTGCACCTTTGTTTATTCTTATTTCTTTTCTTTTAACTGAGAAAATAGTACGTACTCATAGTAAATAGGTCAGAATATGAAAGGTTGGTGTGGGCTTTCACATGAAATGTGCTGAAATGATAACCTGACAGAGGAAAACAATGTTCCCTGGTCATTGCTGCCTTCACCTTGTGTGTCCTGAGCCCCAGAGACCTCAACACACCACCAGGGAAACATGACCTTGATCCGGAAGCAGAGAGAGACCTGCAGCTTGCTGGCTCCTCATCTGGAGCCGCAGGAGGAGGGCAGGGGCACGCTCGTCTCTCCTCCTATCCTGCCGCCCTCTGCCAGTCCCGCACCACTGCTACCCACAGTTTCTCTTCTTTAATGTAGTCACACTTACATATTATAAAAGTAATAATGTCACTGAAAAAATGATGAAAAACTGTAAGGATTAAAGGTTAATTTTTCTGCTTCCCTCTCACACACCACGACCGGTATCTTAGTGCATTTCCTTTGAGCACATTCATGGACATGTGCAGGAAAAGATTAAGCAACACCATAATGGTTTTTAATATGCTTTCACAGTTAATAATCGCACAATTTTGTAGCCTATTTAAAAAATTAGATCATAAGTACCCTCATGTTATTAAAGTTTCAAGACCATTCCTTTTCAAGTATGCCTAATGATAAAACAGTTTCTTGAGATGAAGATGAAATCACCTTCCTGCCTCCGCTCCCCAACCCCAAAAAACACCAAGTTATTGAAAGCTTCAAGTAGCAAAGGAAAAAAGTAACTTAAAATGTCAAATGATGTAAGAGGTAATTTTCCAATTTAAGATTAAGACTAACAAACAGGGTAAAGATTAAGGGCACAGAATCATATCCAGGGACACAGGCATAAGACATACCAAAGGTCCTGCCACCATCCATGAACTTAGTTAGATAAGAAATAGAGAAAAAATTGCTGGACCTGATAACTCAAATACTTACACTTATTTTTCAGCCAAGAAGTGCTATATGCACATTAACAGATGCCAGTGACTACAACATTTTATAAAAACTCCAACTCTCTTTTTATTGGTAACTTAACAAGACATCAAGAAGGCTGGGTTGCGCAATGGTTAAGTGATCAACTGCTCTCTTAGGCTGGGTTCTCTAGAGAAGCAAAACCAGTGAAGCGTATATACATATATATAAACACAGATTTATCTCAAGGAAATGGCTCACGCAGTTGTAGAGGCTGGCAAATCCATAGGTCAGGCATCAGGCTTCAGGCTGGAAGCTTCTACTGACTCACGTAGCTGCAGAGGCTGATGAACCCAAGATCCACAGTTCAGACAGCAGCTGCTGGCTCACAAATGTGAAGGCTGATGAATCCAAGATCAGCAGGTAAGATGGCAGGCTGCTGGCCCACGTCCTAAGAATCAGGGCTCAGACGCTGACGAGCCTAACGCAAGATCCAGAGCACAGCAAAAGCCAGCGAGCTTTGCCAGAAAGTCCAAATATACTGGATGCAGACCACACCCCCAAGGAAACTCCCTTCCAACTGATTGGCCACTCACAGCAGATCTCATCATGGAGGTGATCATATCATTATATGACTGCCAAACTACATCACAACTGCCAAACCACTGAGAATTATGGCCCAGCCACGTTGACACACAACCCCAATGATCACAGCTGCTAACTGAAAGGTCTGCAGTTTGAGCCCACCCAGCGGCTCTGCAGGAAAAAGACCTGGCGATCTGCTCCTGTAAGATCACAGCCAAGAAAACCTTAAGGGATAGTTTTACTCCGTCATATGGGGTCGCTATGGGTCGGAATTGACTCGATGGCACTCAGTAACAACAATAAGACTTCAGTTTAATTGCAAGGAAAAGACATGGCTGAAATATTTTTAGGATAATAACAATGTATTATTATTAACCAGTTGCCGTCGAGTCAACTGGTCATAGTTGTACTGTGCTCCAGAGGGTTTCAGTGGCTGACTTTCTGGAAGTAGATCGCCAAGTCTGTCTTCGGAGGTACCTCTGGGTGGACTAAAACCTCCAACCTTTTGGTTAGCAGCTAAGTGTGTTAACCACTTGCACCACCCAAGGATTACATTATTATTAATAGCAGCTGCCATTTAATGAGCTCTTCCTACTCATCATGCACTAAGTATTTCACTCACTCACTCACACACACACACACACACACACACACATATACATATAAAACTTCATTTACTCTACAGAACAATCTCACAGAAGGCAGCATTATTCCTTTTTACAGATGAGGAAACTGAGGCTCAGAGAAGTAAAACAAGCATCTGAACCCAAGTCTGACTCCCAAAGTTCAAACTCTATCATGCTCCCTCTCAACTTTCTTACCGTTAAAAGTATTATTTTAAAAAAAAAGCTTTATCGATGTATACCTGACATACAATAAACTGCACATATTTAAAATGTATAATCTGTTAAGCTTTGACACATGTACGTACCCATGAGGCCATCACCATAATCAAGATAGTGAACACATCCCTCACCCCCACAAGTTTCCTTGTACCCCTCTGCAACTCCTCCCCCAGCTCCACCTCTCTCCACCTCAAGCAATCACTGATCTGTTTCCTGTCACTACAGATTTACTTGCACTTGCTAGAGTTTTATATAAATGGAACCCAGCATGCAATTTTTTTGTCCGCCTTCTTTCACTCAGCATAATCGCTTTGGAATTTATCCGCGTGGTCCTACACATGAGTAAGTTCACTTTGTTTTAAATTGCCAAGTGGTATTCCATTGTAAAAAGTATTGACCCAGTAATCACAGTACTACATTACACACACACATGCATGTACACATGTATGTTACACACACGCCCTTGTATTTTCCCAGCCCTCCCCAGGGATTTAAGTCTTATTCAAAGTTAAATTTGGTCAAGGGAGGGGCATGGAA